GGTAGCCAGAGCTCACATGTGTGTGAAATTCCCATAAAAATCCCAGTTCACCTCCAATGTGATGTGGAAAATAAGCGATGAAATCAAGAGACACTTGGGTATGGATGCTAAATGGGCCTTGCAGTTGCCAACTGAAAACAACCTGACACAGGGTGGGAGTTGGGGGGACTAACAGAGCCTGGTAGAAGACCTCCACATAGCTTCCAACAGACACAAGAATTTAGGATGTGATAAAGGAGCCATTTGGGGGAAATTCAACAATCACTGCTGGTCAGTGATTTGGAAAAATAAAGTGTGCTCTTTACTTTGCAGCATACACCAAATAAATCACAGATGAGTTAAAGGGTTTACATTTAAATGAAATCTTATCTGTAACGCTGTATATCTTTAAAAACAAGAGGCAGGTATGAGGGAAACATGGCAATATGGTAACATCTGTTAAATCTGGCGGTGGGACATGGGTGTCTGTTACTGTCTTTTTCTGGACATTTCTGTGTGGTCCGGAAAAGCATTCCATTTTTATTAAAAATACAAAAGTAAAAGAAGAAACCATGGAAGAACTGTGAACAAACCGGTGAATATTTGCCCTTCCCCATTGGGCTCCAACCCCGTCTCTGCACCCCACCGGCTTGAGCACTATTCTGCCCTGTGTCAGCTTGGCGGTGCTGTGTCCCAGCTGCGGTCACCCTCAGGCTCTGCTCCAGGCTGCCTCCTCCACTGTGAAGCCCCCCAGCCCTCCTCCCACCCACACCCCCATTAGAAACAACAGTGCTGCCTGCACTTTGCCGGAACGTCACCTCTGCCACCTAGCACAACCTGCCAGGTAGTTCCCTTTCCTAAGGGCTGTCTCCTGTGCTACGGAGCCGTCCTTTAGTCCCCATGGCACCTGGCCTGGCATCTGCACACACCAGGAGCTCAGGCCTGCTGGACATCCTAGGGCTGCTGACCTGGGTGGGCAGGGCTCTGGGCTGCAGGCCTCCTGCTGCTCTGGGCGAGGCAGCTCCTGGCACTGGGCATCTGGCAGGATCTCTTCATCCTTGTCCTCCCCGAGGGCCCGGGCACAATACAGGATCCTACGCACAATCCCTCCGCCACAGCTCACACTGCAGGCTGCCAGCTTGTACCGCCACCTGGGGCAAACCAGAGTCAGGGGGCACCCAGAGGAGACAGGGGTTCCCCTCATTTCCCCACACCAGGAAGGGCCTGGAGAGGCGCTCTCTCTGGGGGTCACCCTGATGTCTCCAAGAAGACGCTTGGCACAGTGAACAGAGAACATTCAGAAGAACCCATTTTACAGACGGGAAAGATGAGGGCACAAAAAACCAGATGTGTCCAACAGGCAATGGTGGGGGGGCAGGGCACCCAAGGGGTCCTGCAGATGTCTGTCTCTAATAGGAACCCCAGCCCCCCCACCCCTGGGACTGCATGTCTCCCATCTATCTTATCGTCCATGTCCCCCTTGTCCCCGGTGTCTGCTCTAGCAGGGCAGGGGTGCGCGTCTGTCTTGCCCACTGCTGTGTCCCCTAATGCCACAGCAGCGCCTGGGCATAGCAGGTGCTCAGTAAAGAGCAGGTGATGAAGAAATGGACCATCAACCATGTGTACCCGCACCATCCGGGATCTGGTGCCATGCACTTTACACGCGGTCTCATTAAACCCTCCACAGCCTTCGGGGCACGCCTGCAGATGAGGACGCCAAGGGTCAGGAGGTTATTGGCAGGTGATAATGGCACCCTCCCAGGATGCCCTTGGGAAGGGGCCCACCTGGCAGGGCAGGGCTCCAGGCTGCAGTCCCTGAAGGAGCTGGGCCGGGGGACCGGCCAGCACTTGGCATGAGGCAGGGGGATGGAGTGTCCATGTTCCAACCTCACGCAGCGCACAGCCAGCGGCACCTGCCCCACTCCGCAGGTCACCGGGCACGGCGCCAGGGCTCGGGTCTCCCACCTGCAGGAAGGAAGGGCCAGTGCTCCGTAGGAGGCCACACCCCAGGACAAGACTCCTTCCTCCCTGGGGGATCCAGGCTGCTGCCCCCATGCAGTCTCCCGCCCAACTTACCAAGCTGGACACAGGGCAGCCCGGCAGACCTCCCGCCGGTTCTCAGGCTTGGCTGCTGGGTCACAGAGCTCTTCCCGGACAGGTGTCCCGAGGGCAGAGTCCATGCACATGAAACGCAGCTCCATCAGGCCTGCAGGAAGAAAGAAGGGACCCCGTGCCCCAAGAGGAGGGCTCAGCCAGCACCGCAGATGCCCACTGTATGAAGTGCTCTAGCAGATAAGGCCCACATGGATTCGAGTCTTGGCTCTGCCACTTACCAGCTGTGTGACCTTGGACAAGTGACTTAACCTCTCTGAGCCTCAGGTTTTTTCATATACAGGGGACTAACTTGCAAGGGTATGTATAAAGATTTTTGTAGGGGAAAATATAAAGTGCCTGGCACATATTAGGTGCTCAAAAAGTGGTAGCTGCTATCGTCTGAGAGGCATTAGTAGAACTGCTGTACGCTCATCTCTGACTGTGTTTCTCCTAAAGATGTCATTAGGGCTGGTTCCCTCACACCTCTCCTTTAGGAGTGTCCTCAAAAGACATCTCTGGTCTCAAGTCTAAACATACTGAAGTTTTACTGAGCAAGTGGTCAGGGTTTTAAAGAACACTGTGTATCTTAAAATTAATTTCGTTTTTCTGGCTTGGCTGCCAAGAACTCAGAGCAAAGTTTGGAGCCCGCCTCTCGTAGTTCTTCTGGACCTTAATAAATAGACTCTTGGGTTCCAATATCGCCAGGTTTTACGACCTTCTCCTATCTTTCGGCCCATCATTGAACACATTACGTGGCTGTCCACACTTTGCCCCAATCTCCTTGTATATTACGTCATGTTTTCGTGTAGTTTGGCTTTTCTGTAAGCCACCCCAATTGCTTTCTAGAACTAGGCAAAATGCAGGCAGAGAAGAGTTAGCCAATGAGTGCTGGTCCTCAGGGGGCCTCACCTCGACCACAGGACACGGAGCACAGCCCCGCCAGGGCGGTCCACACGTGTGCAGCTCGAGCCCCCAGCCCGGCACTGCCCAACGGCGATGCAGCCTCTGCCCCCGGAGGCTGGGGGTCCAGCTGCAGGAGGCAAGCAACCAGCTGGTGGGTCTAGGCTTCTGCCTCCGCCTGTCCCAATCTCTTCGGGAGCCAGCACCCCAGGGGCTGCCTCTCCCTGCTGCTCCTCTCCAGGGAGACTTGCTTCCCAGCCCCCAGCGGATGCCTTCACCCCAACTTGGCCTCTGTATCAGTGTGAGTGGTCACCGTGGGGCGGGGCTGAGGGCTGGGGTTCAGGAGACCATGTGCAGGGACAGTTGGCCCCAGCAGCCTTGGGGGGACAAGGTTGGCCAGCACCTTTGTCTGAAAGGACCACCACCCAGCAGCCTGTCTGCACAGCAGGCTCTCAACCTGGCTCGCCAGTGGGAGGGGGCCTCTCAGAAGGCCCTGAGCTCTGTTCTAAGTTTATCCCTGGACCAGGGGTCCTGCAGACAGCAGTCCCATGGGACAGTCTTCTCACTCTGGCCAGGAGGCCAGTGGTAACCAGCACTTCCCATTCTCCAAGCCAGATAAGCACCCAATGGCCCCAGCCACCCTTGTGCCCAGGACACTCACGTGGCCCCAGCCCGGAGGACAGGCCATCTCCACACAGGACTCGAGGGCAAGTGGCGTCTTGTCTGTGGAGCAGGGCCCAGCAGTCACTGGTGCCTCCAGGCCCTCAGCCCCCTGCATACACGTCACGTTCCGTGCAGCCAGGTCTGCTCCACAAGCCAACGAGCACGCATCTGACACCTCCCCGCTGAGGACAGCACAGGACAGCCATCAGGCCCTGCCTCTGAAGCCAGGCTTCAAGTGCAGTGTGGCTTCTGACATGCGGAGGCAGTGAAACTGCTCCCCCGTATCCAAGATCCCAAAGGGGCCCCACAAAGAAACAAAGCCGGGGCCCTTCGCGGCCAGCACTGCGCTCGGCTCCCAGGGTTCAGTGACACAGGCCCCACCCATCTGCTATCTAGAGGCAAAGGTGGGACTCCAGCCAGATAACGACATGGCTCCACACAACCCAGCAGGTGCCAGATGCAATCGGGTCACCCAAGTCTGGGACAGCAAGTCGTTCTGTGCATGTGCCAACCCTGAGAGGCGGTGGCTGCCGGGAGTGCTGTGTTGAGAAGGATTCTGAGGCAGGATTAGCCCTCAGCGGGAAGAGTGGTGATCGCTATGTCTGCCGTGGACGAGGGAGGGGGAAAGGAGACCAGAGCCACATGTGGGCCACCAGTGACCTAGGCCAACCGCCTCCCCACTGGGCAGGTGACAGAACTGAGTCCCACAGAGGGAGGAGACTTGCTCCTGTCACCCAGCCAGTTAGTGGCAAATCAGAATAATAAGCCACTGTCCACTTGGACACTGAGGGGACCAGAGCCACCATGGAAATGATGATACTAATGACAACGTGACGTTTATTGATTTATATTTGTGACTTGACTTGGTCCTCACAGCCCCTCATGAGCAGGAACTCGGAAGGTCAGAGAGAGAAATGGCCGACCCAGGGTCTCCTGGATAGTAGGGCATTCTGAGGACGGTGAGGCCTGGCTAGAGGTCTTGGAGGAAGGGGTCACTGAGGGGGGCAGGCTCGGTGCAGGGACAAGCCCTGCCAGGGTGTTTCTGCCTGGATCTGGCCTTAGGTGGGCCCTGCCCCTGCCCGCCCCCACCCCCCAACCCCGCCGTGCTCACCTGGGGGCACAGGGCTGAGAATTGCAGGTTTCCACCTCAGCTGGCTGCTGGGCCAGTGCTCTACACCAGGCCGGCGGCACCGTCCGCAGGAGGTGGCCCTGGGCCTCCACACAGCGCACCGTCCGCTCCTGCAGGCCGCCCCCACAGGAGGCGCTGCACGGGCCGAAGTCGCCAGCTGCCCAGCTGACGAGGAGAGGAAGAGCTGTCAGGCCCCTGGCCGGGTCCCCAGGCTGGCTCGAGGGATGGGGTGGGAGGCAAGCCCATCCAGCTGACTCACTTCCCTGGTCTGGGCCGGGCCCTGTGTCCCTTTGGGTACCTGGACACTATGCAGCTACAGCCAGCCCAGCCCTCCAGATGTCCCCAAGCTGCACCTGAGCCTAAGGATACCTGTGTAAAAGTGCTGGTGGGTAGCTGCCCCAGCCCTGCACCCACCAGGGATGGCCTTGTCCCTAACATAGGTTCCTCCCAACTGCACCGGCCACGGGCTGAAGACAACCAGGTGTTCTCTATCAGGTTTTCCATCGTTACCTCCCTGAGTCTCCCCCACACCCTCCCAGGGAGGGCGATTATCTCCATCTTGCAGTGACCTGAGTCGAGAGGGCACGTGCTACCCACACACAAGGTGGGTGTGGGTCACTGTCACCCGTGTCTGCCTGAGTTTCAGTATCCTCACCTGCAAACCGACAGAACCCGCCTTACAGGGCAGGCTCCAGGACTAAATGAGAGCACGCCCGGAAGCAGCCCTGTCCAGCCCATGCTATGTGGGCCCCATGAGCCTGGGACGGGTGGTGGGGGGGGGAGCCCAGCAACCCTGCCTGGGAGCCGCAGACAGCACTCACTGAGGGGGGCAGGGCTCGGGGGCACAGGGCTCCGGCCATGCTGCGGGCTGCTGGCTCCCTCCGCACCGGGCAGCCTCCACCCACTCGTTCCTGGCCTGGTCCAGACAGCGGTAGGTCACCCAGCGCAGCCCTGGGAGGGAAGTGGGAGGCTAGGCCACCTCCACGCAGGGGGCAAACCAGGCTTCAGGGGAGCCCTGACCCGGGCCTCACCTGCCCCACAGCTCACCGAGCAGGACCCCCGAAAGGCAGCCCACGCCCAGGCCTGCCGCTGCTTAGGCTGGAAGTAGGTGAAGGTGATGTCTGGGTGGGTGAGGTCACCGTACTCCTCACTGTAGCGCCTGTAAACCTGCACGAGACAGACGGCAGGCAGGGAGCCTTGTCCAGCGGGGTCCCTGAGGGTCACTGTCACTGCCACCTCCACCGAAAGCCTCAGAGTTTTCACTCCTCTCTATCTATCTATCTATCTATCTATCTATCTATCTATCTATCTATATATATATATATATATATATATACATAGATAGATAGATATAGATATATATATGCTTTTGCTCAGCAAATAATGACTGATGCTGACCACATGCTAGATTCTGGGACAGGACACTGTCCCAGCCACCAAGAGCTCACAGTTCGGTGGGATGGGGTGGTGACAGATAATCCTAAAGTAGCGGTAGGTGCAGGACTGGGTCTGCACAGGTATCACAGGCTCTAGGTTGAGCAGTGGTGGGCAGATCTGGAAGGCGTTCCTGGGGGCGCAGGAGCCAGGGGGCGAGACCAGCGCGGCTCATGCTCCCAGGGTGGACGATGAGGCCCAAGGGGTTGGCAGGAAAGGACATCAACCCCTTAAGCCTGCCCACGACCCGAGGAGGCAGGACTGTGATCCGATCCCCCTTCTACAGAGGAGACTGAGGCGCGGGGGGTGACGCGCACATCCGTCAGTGGCAGAGACAGGAGGACAGCCTGGGCGACCCAGCATGCTTGCCCAGGGACGGCAAAGCTTGGGAGGGAACGTTTAGATCCTAGTTCTGGCCCTTACAGTGCCTGTCTCTTTGTCCCCGAACTTCTGGGTGTCTCACTTTCCCACCATTAAGATGGGGTGTCCCCAGTGCTCTGGACACTTTTGAGATCCAAGCCAGCACGCGCTTTGTAGCAGCAGCCACTTTTCATGGCGTACATATGGGTCACCAGACACTGCCACGCGCTTCATTTTTTTAAGCGCATTGTTTAAAAAGACAAGTCTTCACAACTTTACAATGTAGGTGTGCCCAGTCCCATTTTGTAGATGGAGAAATTGAGGCCATGAAAGGTTAAGTCCCTTGCCAGCGTTCCTGCAGAGCCCCGATTCAAACTGCTGTCTGTCTGAGCCCCTGACCTGGGCTCTTGACTCCGGGTTACCGAGCTTCCAGATCCCGGGCTGTCACTGCTTCTGGGTGGGTGCCCCATGGTGGGTCTCTAATCTGGGCATCAGCCCAACCAGCCTCTCCCCGAGGTCTGGCTCCCCACACCCTTGTTCAGCCAGGCCTGACACAGACCCGATCCCAACTTCACCTGCACAGAGCCCCTCAGCTGCCCCCCAGTGGCCCCCGGGAGGAAGCCCGAACTCCTCGCGTAGTCAGCAAGGCCCCGTGAGGTCCGCCTGCCCTCCAGCCCCCTCGCCTGGGGGTCCCATTCCTTCAACCCTAATTACCCTCCTGTGCACATACTGTTCCCTCGAGACACTTCCCACCTTCCTTGGCCTGGCAGCATTAGCTCGTGTCAGACCCCATCCCTGGAGAAGCCCCCTAGCCCCTGCACAGGGCCGTCCTTCTCACCCTCTCCAACTCCAGGGACTCCGTGGGTCCCGAGCACAGGTCCCTTAGAATCGCCCCAAATGCCCGCTGAGTAAATGAGCAGGTGAGTGAGTGAACGGATGGAAAAATGAACCCCAGGAGGAGGCCCTCCTGGTCACCTGAATCTCCACGTCTTCCTGGGTGGGTCCCCGGATGCGGATCTCCTCCAGGTGGGGCAGACGGTCCTCAGTGAGAGTCACTTTGTACTCAACACGGCTGTCCTCCAGGAGGGAGGGATAGGCGGTGCTGGGAGAGATGCTTGAATTCCCAGCCACAACGTAGCGTCCTCGGATCCTCACCGCTGTGGGGGGAGCAAGGCCGGTCAGCATGGCGGAGCCCCCACATACCAGAGGTGGGCGCTACCCCCTTCCAGAGGAAAGGTCCCAGTTTAAGGAACGGGGTGGAGGTGACAGCTGGGCCAGCAGGATGTAATCTCCACGGCCACATCTGCGGCTGTTCTCCCCTGGGTCCCCAGTGCCCCCGAGGAGCAGGTCCTCCCGGTGTCTCGGTCGGGTGGTCTGCAGTGAGTAGGGCACCCCCTCCAAGACGCCCACAGGTGTCTGAGCATGGGCCTCCCCACAGCGGCGCCTCCGCACCTCCCTCCAGATCCTGGTGAGCACTGTGGGCCTGCTTCCCACACCAGGTGCACTCACACAAGCTCTAATGGCAGGTCTAGGAGCTCAAGGACCCCAGGGGAGGCGCCCCCACTCCGGGTTTAAAGGTCAGGCATGGGTGTCCCCTGGGAACAAAGCCCCACTGTGGCACTGAGCAGTAAAGAAGTTGGTACTGCCCAAAGACAGGTCTGACCTGTGCCCTCGGCTTCCAGGAGGGAGCCTATGTCACTCGGTAGAAGTGTCTTTGTCTAAGGTGGGGTCTGACCATACCAGAATGACTAAACACGGGATCTAGGGGCCTTTGGGTCTCATGACATCAGCCAGCCTGGAGACTGGAGGCTGAGATCGTCCACGTGAGCAATCAATCAATCATGCCTACATAACAACGCCCCAACAGGAGCTGGACACTGGCCTCGGGTGAGCTCCCTGGGGTGGCAATACTCCATGCATAGTGTCACACTTCGATGCTGGACATGGGACCCTCTCAGGCTCTGCCCCCGGCGTCTCTTTTTTGGCTGGTTTTACTCCGTTTCCTTCCCCTGTCATCAGCTGTAACTGGGAGTATAACAGCTCCGCGTTCTGGGAGTCCTCCTCGTGAACTGCCCAAGCTGATGGTGGTTTGGGGAACCCCTGAACTTGCAGTTGGCATCAGCAATGAGGGCGTCTTGGGGACCGTGCCTCCCATCTTTGCAGTTTGGCTAACTCCAGTGGGTGTCCTTTGGCCAACTCACCCAGGTGTGTGAAGAGAGGCCTGTGGTTGGCGATGTATACGCTGGTCAGGTTGGGGGTAAGCGTCAGGAATGTGACATACTCTAGGAGGAAGCAGAGGAGATGGGTGGTCTCAGGCCACTTACATCACAGCCGAGGGAGCAGATTTCAGAGGTACAAAGGAAATGGCCTCAACACCGAGAGCTCACATGCGGTGGTGTGGCTCAGGCAGAGAGTCCCCTGGCACAAGGGGCAATCAAGGCCAGGCTGGAGGACCCCTTGTCGGGGCACAGCCCTGGCCGGGGGCAAGGACTGGACCCAAGGCTCTCAGCACAGCCTGGGGACTGCCAGGGAGAGGCGGGAGTCAACTCCTCCACTGACCCCAAGCACCGACTTTGCAAATGACCTGACCTCTTTTATAAGTAGGTCAATGTCAAGGATTTTCCAGGTATCACATCCCTCCTGATAGGGTTCCTTGAGCAGGAGAGGAGAGGCCAGCAGGCCCAAGATTGCCCAGTGTCTGTATTTTGTCTGCCTCTCAGCTACAATGAGCAACCGTTATTGACATGCCACAACCCCAGCGGCAGCCTCTTCACCAAACTCTGAGCCACGTGGGGACGCTGGCAAAGTGGAGGGCAGAGGCCAAGGCCCAATGGAGGCCCCAGGGCTGAGCCAAGGCTCCGGGCTGCAGGGCTTCGGGAGGCTGGGGGGGCCGGGCCCCTACCTCTGGCTCTTCCGGCTGTGAAAGAGCCGTTCTGCAGGCTGCACGTGCTGTTGTCCCCTCCACACACCTGGCACACGTCTGGCACCTGCTGGGAGTCCATCCTGCCATCACAGCCAAATGTCTGTGCAGAGGGGAGTGGCAGGTGAGACCCAGGTGCCTGCCATTGCAGGGTGCTGGCCCACTGACACCCACAGCTCTGAGGCTCTGATTGACACAACAAACTGGGCACATTTCTGTAGCGTCTGACGTCCACGCAGGAAGCAAGCTTAAATGACTTGGCCAGGTCACAGCACGCTCCTAATCCCCCCACTGACCCCAAGGCTGGCCCTGTGTCCTGGTGTCACCCTGTGCAGACTCTACTGCAGCTTCATGGGGACCAGTGCCCAGCAGACCTGACCCCCAAGAGGTCCCTTTGCATCTTAGCTTCGATGGGACAGGCCTTCGGGCCACCTCCACTGCCCACACATGCCTACCCTGCAGTTGCCTGACACGCATAGGCTCAGGGTCCCGTCCTCCTGAGGGCCATTTGGCACACAGCGGGTCCCATCCAGGAAACTGTCCCCACGCCTTACGATGAAGCTTTCACCAATGGCCCAGCACATATATCTGCACAGAGGGTCCCCTGGGAAGGCAGAGGGACAAGGAACCCTGATGTGAGGGTGGCAGAGAGTATGGAGGGCCATGACCCTGCCAAGCACAATCCAAGTGGCCCCTGCCGGCACCACCCAGCTTTACCCTCTGCCTTTGGGGCAAGGGTTTCTATTTTCCACCTGCCCTGCCTCCTGAGGTAGTGTTTCGTAATCCCGACAACGTAATAAATGTCACTGGTTTATGAGCCAAGGCACACACTCAGTGCTTCCCCTGCGTCATCTCACTGAATTCTTCCAGTAACCCCAGCAGGGAGATAGACACCTTGCGTATGTCCACCTTACAGATGGGAAAACCGGGACTCGGAGGTGACCTACGACAAGGGGCTGAGCCAGGACGTGTCTCATGGTCTGTCTGATGCAGGGCCTGAGTCTCAGCCCTGCTCTCCAGCATCGGAGTGATGGCGGGCGGGCCCCCGACCACTCCCCCCTCCCGGTCTGGCTTCCCCGCCACGGGCCCGCAGGCCGGCCCCACCTTGACTGTACTGCACAGCGGCGCCCCAGCGATAGAAGGAGGCGTTGCCTGGGGACAAGTGCAGGCGCTTCCCGTCGGTCTGAGCACACTGTTCGGACATGAACTCCAACTGGGTCTTCTCACAGGCCTGGCCAGAGGGGACAGAGGACAGGCACAGAAGAGGCCTGGGGTGGGGTGCCCCTGCCACTGGGGGACAGCAAGGCACCCTGTAGTGCAAGTGTCACAGTGTGGGTCTGATCCCAGGTCCTGCTGCATCTCAGCTCCCTGCTCTGTAAAGTGGGGGTGACAAGAGTCTTTCTCTGATGATGGGGGAGTTCCAGGATTCGTAAGGACACAGGGTGAGGCCTACGAACCAGCAGCACTGAGGAAGGCAGGGCACAGAGCACTGCTCTGGGGACCGGGGGCCTGAACAGAGACGGGCGCTTATGTATTCACTGGATGTGCCCCGAGAGGCCCATCGTTAGAAGAGCCCTGGTGGCACAGGGCTTTGCCACAAGAGCCACAGTGCCAAGGCGGGCAGGCAGCTGCCATTTTGCACTAGCGTCTGGGCGGGAAGAATCAGAGTGCACACGCTGAGCAGCGCACGGTCCGCGCCTCCCTCTGCACAGGCTCGCCCCTCCGCCCCCTCCCCCTGGGCCCCAGGTGAAGGCTCTCCCTCCAAGTCTGGCCTCCTGTGATCGCCTGGAGAAGGCAGGGAGGGAAGGTCTCACCAGGTGCACTTTTTTTTTTCATGAAGGAGTCAAACCAGCAACCTTGCTGTTAAGAGTGCACGCTCTATCCACTGAGCCATCCGGGTGGCAGCTCAGCTCAAGGTGCCGAGTTCAGTCCCAGCCACGGGTGGGCACAGCCCACCATTGAACAGGCAATCTTGTTATTAGGAGCAGTGCTCTCACCAGCTGAGCCATCCTGCCACCTGTTGGCAGCTCAGCAGCAGCTCAGCTCGGGTGCAGCTCACTGGCCCATGTGGGAATCGAACCGGAGGCCCTGTTGCTCAGAGCTTGTGCTGTTAAGAAAACTTATTTTTCCCTCCATCCTTCTAGTTCTTTGATCAAAAACTCTGATGTTAACTTGACTCTTTTCTTCTCTCACATCCTACATTCATCCTGTCAGCAAATCCTGTCATCTACCTATAAAATATATCCAGAATCTGACCATTTCTTACCATGACCTGAACCTCCATCATCTCTCTCCAAGAGTCTTACTGGTCTCCCTGCCTGCACCCATGCTCCCCAACAGTGTGCTTTCCACAGACCAGTCCCAGGGGTTTTGCCAAAATCTAAGTCACATCATCTTATTCTTCAAAAGCGTCCCATGGCTCTTATTTCAGCATAAAAAGTAAAATCAAAGTTTTTACCATGACCTACATCTACCCCTGTCTCTCTCTGTTCCAGCCACAGTCGTCTTCTGGGTGGTCCTTTAAGATACTAGGCAAACTTTCATCTTGGGCCTCTGCATTTGCTTTGCCCTCTGCCTGGGTGCCTCCCCAGTTATCTTTGTGGTTCCAGCTCTCTTTCTTTATTTACTCAAATGTTGCTTTCTCCATGAGTCCTTCTGTGATAGTTACTAAGTTATTGTCTCTCAAAATTGGCATTCCCCATTTTTTAATCCTGCTCTACTGTTTATTTATTCATAGCCCTGGCCACCTATCACACCATCTACTTTACTTTACATTAATCACCTACCTCTTCCCACCCATAAGCTGCAGGTGGGGGCTTTTCTTGGAGAGGGGTATTCACTGATATATCCCACATATCTAAAGCAGTGCCTGATACATGAGCACTTAAACCCCCAGTCCGTTATCTGATAAAGCTGTTCTCTCTCCCGAACTCAGGATCGATCAAAGGCCCCATGCCAGTTCTCAAACTCAACATAAAAACCTACGCCCCTTTACCCCTAAAATCTCTGCCTCTGGCCTCCATTCTGCCCACCCCCTTTCACCGTGGCTAAATTTACACCTCCCACCTCACTCCCGCCGCTTAAGCCTTGACCGGCTTCACATGGTGGCAGTGGCTGCGTTTTCTAATCACTCCCCTCTTATGCAAACTCTTAACCAACTGAGCCACTCGGCTGGCCCTGGCCAGGTGCACTTCTTAACTCAACGTCAAAGGAATTAGTGGACCACTTCACACCCACCGTGTGACTGTGATCAAAACATGGACAGTGAGTGCTGGACAGGATGTGGAGAAATTGGGGCCCTGGCACATGGCAGGTAGGCATGCAGCATGGGTCAGCTGCTGCGAGAAATGGTTTGCACGTGCCTCAAAGGGTTAAACATAGAATTACTGTGTGACCCAGCAACCCCATTCTTAGGTGTAGACCCCAAAGAATTGAAGACAGGACTCAAACAAATCCATGTGCACACAGGCCCACAGCCACACTATTCACAGCAGCCACAGGGTGGAAACAACCCTGATGTCCATCACAGGGTGAATGGATGACCAAAATATGGTCCAGCCATATTTTTGCAGCTATGAAAAAGGGTAAAGCATGGGCACACTCATGGATGAGTCTTGAAAACACGGTGCTGAGTGAAAGAAGCCAGATACAAAAGGCCACGTGTATGATTTCACTCATATGAAATGTCCAGAACGGACAAATCCAAAGAGACTGGAAGCACGTTGGCGGTTCCAGGAGCTCAGGGAAGCAGGGATGGGACTGGCTGTTTAATGGGTCTGGGATTTCACTTTGGAGGGATGGGAATATTGTGGAACTACACAGAGGTGGTGGTTTCACAATATTGTGACTGTGCTAAATGCCACTGAATTGCACTTTAAATAGTTGATTTTATGTCACGTGAATTTCACCTGAATTTATAACTAAAGAATCGCTTGTGGCTTCGCAGTGCTGTACTGGATTGCTGAGGAGGGATGGGGGGGCGTTCTCACTGCAGAGACGGGGGTGCCCTGGAAGGTGGTGGCGTGCGGGCAGGGCGGGGGACACTTCAGGGTCCCTGCTACTGTCCTGGTATATGCACTGTGGTCCCAGTGCAGGTAGAATAGCACCCTCTTCACTCTCAAAAGTGCCCTGGTGTAAAGCACAAATTATAGCTACCCTGGTCCTTCGCCTCCTCCAGGGCCCAGGCTGCCAACCTGACCCTCTCCCCCTGCCCGGAAGCAGGCCTACCTGGGTGTTGCACATCTCAGCCTGGAGGTCATTACCTACGCACGCACGCCCCCCAAAGGCAGGTCTGAAAATGTCCAAGAGACACAAGGGGTGAGGGGTGACCCACTGGCCCCAGCCAGGGAAGTGGAGCCGCCACCTGCCTGACTGGGCGAACAGCGCCCCCTCCTGGAGGTACCTGGGGTTGTTGCACTGCCGCCTCCTGATGACCACACCTCCTCCACAGGAGCGGGAGCAAGGACTGGGGGGACCCCACCCAGACCAGTGCCCGTGCACTGCCTCCATGGGAGTCAGCTCTGCCAAGGAGCGGCAGTGACCTTTGGAGCACCACTGCAAGAGAAGGATAGCACCATCTCCCACACGCACAGGCACCCCGCACACCCAGGGCACCCCGCACAGGCACCCCACACACCCACGGGCACCCCACACACCCACAGGCACCTCACACACCCAGGG